TGATATAATAAATATATATCCTTTTTTTGGCAAAACTTGAGCTGGTGCTGCATGTCGATGGGTATCCTCACAAACCTAGCCTCGAGTCATCAAATATGTAATTGACTTCTTCCACTTCTCGTACTCGTTCGAGTGTATTTGGTTAACAAGTATTTAAGGAGTATTCAACTTTGAGACGAAATCTATGACAGACTGAACAACTCTAACTAGCAACCACTCAAGAGAGACATATTCTTCTCTTTCTCTAAAAGGACCTAAATTCCACTGTAGGATGCTTCTTCTTGCATAACTCTTAAGGCTATTTCTAACTCTATGGTTCATCCATCTTACCTGATCAACTGTCGATGGATATACTATTGAACTGAATTTACTACCTCAATTACTCCTTATGAGCTTCTAGAAGTGGGACAAAAGAGTCTCATCTCAGACATATAGGACCTCCCTCAACGGGGGCAATTCAGGAAGTAGCTTATATATTCAAAAACTCTGAATTTCTCTTATTTTGCGTTGATCTGTGTTTGATATTGACTCTTCAAACTTATGGCCCTTTTGGACATTCAATGCAAGTCTCACTGATGCTCTTCTCAATGTCTGCAAAACGGTCGCTCAAGGCATCACAATCTTATACTCTTCATGAACGTCCATTACCTCAAACTCACTAGATTCCAGAACTGTTACTGTCCCCTCAGCTAGAATCTCTCTCCTTGTTCAATGGGAATCGATGACGTCTCTTCCTTATTGGTTGGTTGTTGGCACTCTTTTTTCGTATCCTCATTGTCTTCTGTGTATAATATGTCATTGTCCATTTCTTCAATTGTTTCTTGATTCGTTAAAGGGATTGTTCCCCTTGTTATGCAATCTGATTTAACATGTCCAAATCTGTTAACTTGAAACTCTTTCTAATGGGGATGGATTTGGATTGTTAGTTGGTTCTACCTGTTTTCCACTTGGAACTAGTATCTGCTTAGGTGGGGTTGACTTGGATTTTCCCCTGGGTGTACTTTGGTTGTAAGATCCTAGGATTGAACCTTGTTTGTGAGATGTGGTGGTTGCCCAGTGATGTGGGCTTTCTACTTTTAAAACTGGGGTCTCAAAATGCGGTCTGTATTGAATTTGTAGGTGCTGGCGCTGAATCTTTCCCTTTATCTCAGACCAGGCTATGATTTTGTCTTTTTCTTCGCGATGTTTTTGATATTTCAATTTTTGCCACCAAAATAATGCACTTTTCTTTGGCGTGTTGGCGGCTAGTTTCACCATTTCGTCTGGTGGGACGTCTTGACATTAAAATCCATATTCTAAGATCCAGAGCTATTCGGTAATCTTGTCTAAATCTATGTGGCTGTAAAAATATGGCAAATCTGCATTTAATATCATCCACCATGCAGATTCCAGGGATGAAGTGGTTGCCCAGTGATGTGGGCTTTCTACTTTTAAAACTGGGGTCTCAAAATGCGGTCTGTATTGAATTTGTAGGTGCTGGCGCTGAATCTTTCCCTTTATCTCAGACCAGGCTATGATTTTGTCTTTTTCTTCGCGATGTTTTTGATATTTCAATTTTTGCCACCAAAATAATGCACTTTTCTTTGGCGTGTTGGCGGCTAGTTTCACCATTTCGTCTGGTGGGACGTCTTGACATTAAAATCCATATTCTAAGATCCAGAGCTATTCGGTAATCTTGTCTAAATCTATGTGGCTGTAAAAATATGGCAAATCTGCATTTAATATCATCCACCATGCAGATTCCAGGGATGAAGTGGTTGCCCAGTGATGTGGGCTTTCTACTTTTAAAACTGGGGTCTCAAAATGCGGTCTGTATTGAATTTGTAGGTACTAGCGCTGCATCTCTCCCTTTATCTCAGACCAGACTATGATCTTGTCTTTTTCTTCGCATTGTTTTTGATATTTCAATTTTTGCCACCAAAATAATGCACTTTTCTTTGGCGTGTTGGCGGCTAGTTTCACCATTTCGTCTGGTGGGACGTCTTAACACTAGAATCCATATTCTAAGATCCTGAGCTATTCGATGATCTTGTCTAAATCTATGTGGCTGTAAAAATATGGCAAATCTGCATTTAATTCAAACTTTTGGCTTCTCAGATATTTTAGGTCACATCTTTGAGGTAAAGATTCTTCATCCCTGGAATCTGCATGTTGGATGATATTTGTTCCATTTCTTCGATCTAGCAAGTCACTGTTGTGGCTATGGATGCCCCATCTAGATGACCTCTTCTCGAAGGTGGCAAGCCTTTGCTGTAGTCATCAAGTTTCGCACTATATATCCTCCCTAAAAATATTCGAGGCACTTCTTTGTGGATTTCTCATAAACAGCATTGTGTTTATTTCGCTCGATCCTGCTTCCGACTATTGTCCCCTTGGTGGTATGGCTGGGGTTTGGGTTTGGGTAGATGGAGGAGGGTGTATAGGGTTGTGTAGGGTGGGAAAGAAAATTTTTCGGTTACTGCTTTGGAAAATTAACAAATAGATATTGGTGAATGCTAGAAACCCTAGGATAGGAGTTGAGTTAGACTAGCTCTGATGCCAAATGATACCGTATTTAACCCAAACCACAATAGAAAATGCAAATATTATTGCTGATAGCAAATAGACAATTACAATTAAACATACTTGAAAGGAAAATTACAATAAACACAACATAATCTCACGCTAATCCATGGGTGGTGGAGATTGGCTAGGTAGTTGGGGTGCGGAGGTAGATGGTTGAAATGACTTGGGGGCGGTTGGGACAGCAAAAGGAGGGGATGGAATCACGTTGACAGCGAAGCGGAGGGCTGGGACAGAGAGGGTAGCAAGTTGGGTGGCAAGCAGAGAGGCGAGGAGTTGTGGGAAAGGCTGGAACTGCCAGGGGGGACTGGAGGAAAGCAACAGGTATGTTGTTTTTCATTTGACGACAGTGAAGGGGCGAAGCGGAGGTCTGTAGGACAGCAAAAGGTGACTTTCCAGGATGTTGGCAGCAAGCAAAAAAAGTTGGAATGGGAAGACTGTAGTGAAAGTAACAAACTGAGTGCACGAAGTTGGGTGGCAAGCATAGCGGCGAGGAGTGATGGGAAAGTCTGGAATTGCCAGGGGACTGGAGGAAACCAACATATATGTTGTTTTTTAATTGACGGCAGTGAAGGGGCGAAGCGAAGGATTGTAGGACAGCAAATAGCGACTTTCCAGGATGTTGGCAGCGAGCAAAAAAAAGTTGGAATGGGAAGACTGTATTGAAAGTAACAAATGAGTGCAACAATATAGGATGGCCAGGAGCATCACGGGGAAGTTGCGGAAGGGGATTGGGAAAATAATTACCACCTCTGTAGAGAAATATAATTGGAGCACCACCCAACTTTTTGGATATAGCCCTCAAAGGAAGAAGAGTGGACGCCAACAACTGTCTTAAGCAGAACACAAAATACTGACTTGAAACACGAAGAAACAACATATATAATACTAGTGTAATTAAGGAGTGGCTCCCATAGGGTGGGCGACAATCCCGAGCAAACAGGAGGGCATGTTGGCCCCATAATCGTTCGACCCAAGCGGGATTCGAGGAAAACAACAGGTATGTTGTTTTTCAATTGACAACAGTGAAGGGGCGAAGCGGAGTACTGTAGGACAGCAAAGGGCGACTTTCCGGGATGTTGGTAGCGAGCAAAAAGAGTTGGAATGGGAAAACTGCAGTGAAAGTAACAAAAGAGTGCAGCAATATAGGATGGTCGGGAGCATCGCGGGGAAGAGGCGGAAGGGGATCGGGAAAATAATTACCGCCTCTGTAGAGAAATATAATTGGAACACCACCCAATCCTTTGGACATAGCCCTCAAAGGGAGAAGAATGGTCGTCGACAGCTGTCTTAAGCAGAACACGAAATACTGACTTAAAACACGAAGAAACAACGTATATAATACTAGTATAATTAAGGAGTGGCTCCCATAGGGTGGGCGATAATCCCAATCAAACAGGAGAGCATGCTGGCTCCATAATCGTTTGACCCAAGCGGTCCGGACTGCGCCTGGCACAGTTTCGTGTGAAACAGACATCCCACATCCTTGGCATGGTTATGCTCCCTTGTCAATAGCATTAATGAATTCTTTCAACAATTATGTAGCTCATGAGGTTTGGTTCCAATCTATGAGGATCAAAGTTTTTTGGGGCATTTACATACATACCACTCAATTCCTATGTTTTTACATATCTATCACCTAAGCTTTACTTTTTTACGTTTCTACCACCCAAAATTTCAAATCACATAAAAAATATCACAATTTTAACTTTTAAAAAGTGAAATACACCTTTTCTTGCATGTTAAAATGGAATGCATGTAAAAATTGAAGTTTTTGTGTTAGATATGTAAATACATAAGAATTGAGTGGTACGCATGTAAATCTTCCAAGTTTTTTTTTTCATTCGCTAGTTGATCGTGATACTTTCCTTTGGCTATGTGGATGGCATCTTCTTATATGTGTATTTTGGAAAGAATCTGAGTGATTTCCAGACATGTATTTATGCCATCCTATTACCTTTTGAAGTCTGACATTGTGGGGTGGTGATCGCTTCGTAGTCGCAGCTATTATGTCTGTTATTTATTCATGTGTTCTTTTTTTACGTGAAGTTTATTGTTTACTGAAAAAAGCACACTAAATGCAATGTATTTATTGTAAAGAAAAGCAATTTTTACCCGCACATTTTAACATTTCTATGTTTGGTAATTCTACGGTATGCTTTCATATACGTTCTTAAAACTAACGCCTTAACTTTCTTGTTTACATGCATAGCACACAAATACTAAATGTAAATATGAATGTGTAGGTGTGAGATATGTAAATGAATAAGAATTGTGTGCTACATATGTAAATTTCCTCTTTTTTTCTGAGCAACCGTTTCTGTTGGATAATTAATGATGATGGTGACGAGTGGCATGCAATTAGTAGTTAAAACAAATTTGCTCTTTAAGGTTGATCATGAACTTTGGATAATCCTGAGTGTGTGTGATTTTCGCAGGCGCCGGTGGCCTACCCGTATGTTGATCCTTATTATGGAGGCATCATTGCTGCATACAGCAGTCAACATGTAGTAAAGCTTTTTTTTTTTTTGGAAAATTTACATGCATACCTCTCAGTTACATATTTATTTACATATCTAACACCTAAACTTCAATTTCTTCATACACGTCATCTTATGAAAAGGTGTATTTCAATTATTTTTAAAAGTTAAAATGGTTGTATTTTTGATGTGATATGAAACTTTTGGATGAAATAAATCTAAAAAGTAAAGTTTAGGTGTTAGATATGGTGTATTCAAATTATATTTAATGATTACCAAGGGTAACCTAAGCTGGCTTAGAACTGCTAAAATTGTTTGCGACTTACACCGAGGTAAATGGAATCCAGATGCATCCGACCATGACAGGAATCATGCCTGGGGTGCCATTGCCTACCGATGCTGTCGAGGAACCAGTGTATGTGAATGCCAAACAATATCACGGCATTCTGAGACGGCGCCAATCTCGTGCAAAAGCTGAATCGGAGAATAAATTGATCAAATCTCGAAAGGTACTTTACTAGTTTGTTTTCTATTTTTTCATTATGCGTTCTCATATGTTTTTTGTTAATGCTGTTCTCAACCCTTGATGGTTAATTCATGTGTTTTTTTCTGGAAGTTTGTATGCAAATGTTGTAAAAATAGGGAGAAGTGCCAAAATAGTCCCGGACTTTTCTGCAGGTTGTCATTTTAATCCGAAAGTCTATAAAAAGTATCAAAATCATTTAATATGAGTTGAAATAGTCCCAACAGAGAACTATTTCAGCCCCAATTTAAAGAGTCCAGTGCCTAATTTGATACTGGTATGAACTCAGGGGCTAAAATGACCCCATATAATTCAGGACTCAACAGTGGCTACAAATAGCAAGGCTATCTTGCAGTTAGTACTACAATTTGGACATCTTTGCATATGCTGCATGAATTTTTTGAAACTTTTTATGGTGATTTTGTCTTTTTTTGCTTGCTTAAACAGTTTGTATTGACTTACGCTGTTCTTCATACAACGGATGCCTGCCTTTCATAAACTATAAAG